CGTGCCACGGGGGGGGCGCGGGGCGGCGACGCGGGAGCTCGGCGGCGGGGAGGGAGCCTGGGCAGGGAGCCTGGGCGACGGGGCACAGGCCGCACAGACGGGACGACGGGTCTGCGTGGCCGGGAAGCGCGGGAGGTGGGGGGGGCCGCCCTGTCTGGTCCCCATGGCGTCGCCTGTGGTTCTGACCCGAGGGCCCCCGGATGCCCGGGGGGCCGGGTGAGCGCCGGGCTGGCCTCCGCGCGGCGGCCTCGGCAGACGCGCGCCCGGCGCCGGGGCCTGTCGGGAGCGGTCTCCGGTGACCTGGGCGTCTCTCGAGAACCAGGATCTGTCTCACAGCCCGCAGAGCGGCCGGAAGAGCGAGATGTGCCGGTAGCGCGGTGTCGCGCTTGCACCCAGCGTTGAGTCTGTGCCGTAAAACCTGTCGCGTCCACTGGCGCCCTTCGCGCCCCACGCTTGACAGCGCGCTCGTTTCTTTGTAGCATCACCTTGGAGCCGACCGGCCGGACCGGAAGCCCGGAGCGAGCCCCTGAGCCTCAGGCAAGCCTGTTGCGCTGAGCCCACCCAAGCTCCCATCAGGGCGGGACGGTCGTGCAGCTGCCATCAGCTTCTGTCTAGTTGTGCAGCATCCTTTCCGTCAGGAGGCTGGATTCGTCTTTCCAAGTTAACCGGCCCAAGCCATGGCGTCCGAATCGCGGGAGACGCCTGACAAGCCCCCCTGAGGTGGGCGCCCCGGCTGTCGACGCTGCACCTGGTCAAGCGCACACAGCTTGTCACCGGGAAAGGCCGTGGCCAGGGCGCCACGCTTACCTGTGTGCTGTCTCATGTGTGGTTCTCAGGTGTCTTCAGAATGCCGAGGCTCAGGTTTCCTTCCAACACCACCCTCCCAAGGCTGCCGCCTACAAATGGCCTGAGTCCTCCACTGCACCATTAAGTTAAATAAGGAACCCTCAGACCCACCCGCTGAAAAGCGCGTTCATCAGAGCGTTTGGTGCAAAACAGCTGGCAGCTGTCGGCGCGGGGGCATCGGCTCGGAGAGGCCTCAGGTGCGGGAGCCCACGAGGGGTGGCTCTGGCCCGTGATGAGCGGCCGCGTCCCGCTGGCCGAGAAAGCCCTGTCTGAAGGCCACGCCCGGCTGCGGTACAGGGACACCTCCCTGCTCATCTGGCAGCAGCAGCAGCGAAAACTAGAATCTGTGCCGCCCGGGACGTACCTGAGCAGGAGCAGAAGCATGTGGTACACGCAGTACGGGAACGAGGCCATCTTGGTCCGTGACAGACACAAGCTGGAGGTCTCCCGTGACACGGGCCAGTCCAAGTTCTGCACAATTATGTGATTCCAGGGTGAGAACCAGGGCCAGGCGCCCAGCTGGGAGCACAGGCCCCGTCTCCTTCAGCTGTCTTGCGGATTCCTAGGCCTCACCGGGAGACTGAACAGTGAACGTGAAGACCAAGCCGTTTGGTAAGAACCCACGAATGGCAGAAATGCCTCCGTCACTATCGGTGCGACCGGTAGGCCCGGCCCCTGGCCTCCGTTCTAACCGTCCAGACCGGGGTACCACTCCATCTGCTTAGCACGCTTCCAATACATCAGCCAAAAGGTTACAGCCTTTTCAAGTGTTGTGGGTTGTTTATAGTATTCACTCTTGCCTGATGAGTCAGACCTAAAAACAGGAAGAAACGGGCGTGTATGGTGGAAAATCCATTTACAGAACCAGGATGGATGTAACTTAAATGATCATCAATGGCGTGTCAACGGGAACTTCGAGGCACCTGTTTTGAGTCTACTTACCAAAATGACCACCATGTGTGTGCCCTGTGGTAGCGCCCACACTATCTTCCAAATAGTGGAGGACTGCGGGCAAGTGCATCCAAAAATCATTAAGGAAAACAAAAATTACTTTTAAGTTCCACATCAGTTGCTTACAGGGGTTTCAGATTTGATCACGGGGCTGGAAAAGGAAGGTTCTGGACTGACAGCGCTTTCCAGCCCGTCCGCTCCGAGGCTGCTGCTCTGCTCCTCACTGTTATCAGCTGTCTGATGCTCGTCAGTCATTACCGCACAGGCTGGGGCGCAACGTGTGGGCACTTCTTAAGAATCATTTTCAAAGGATTTGCCGTGGGCTATAGTTAGCGTGGCTATGAAATGTAGGAGTATCATTGTCACAGCTGATTTTGCTTTTCTAAATAAATAATAAATATCCTTTAGAACTCTCCTTCCTTCCTATTACGTTGATTCTTTTTTTTTTAGCTGAGCCATCCTGCCGTCTGTTGGCAGCTCAGCGGCAACTCAGCTCGGGCCGGGCATTGAACCGCTGTTGCTCAGAGCTCAAACTCCCATGTGAGCTCTTAACCAACTGAGCCACTCGGCCAGCCCTGTTCATAATGTTTTTTTTTTTTAAGATTTTTCTTGGGGAATTGGGGGGATGGGAACAGTGCTGGGGAATTTGGGAAGGGGAACAGACAAGTTGGTATCCTTTTGCTCTTCAGTCTAGTTGTGGAGGACGTTGCTTCACTGGCCCAAGTTGGCACCATCATTGCGCTCTTCCCGGGCGAGGCAGATCAGTCTCCGGCTTCTGGACGGCCGCTCACTGCGGCTGCTGGCCACTCACGCTGGCTGCTGGCTACACATGGTAGCCCATGGCAACCCACTGCCGCAGGGGCTGCAGCCTACGCTGTCCCCTGCGACCCACAGCAGCCCAGCTCCAGGTCGAGCTGTTATTCAGCATCTTAGCTGTGGAGGGCAGTGTCACTGGCCCTCATATGTGGGATCTGAACCGGGGCCCTCTGGCATCCCAAGCCAGTTCTTAACCATCGCGCCACTCGGCCAGCCCTGTTCATGTTTTAACTCAGCTTTCCGTTTTTAGTAGTATCTAATGATTGATAAAAAACCCCAACACAGAAAAGCAGAAGGCAAATCAAGGGGTCCTCCCAAGCGCTGCACTGCACACCTTGTTCCGGATGTTTCTCTGGCTCAGCTGTCAAGACTGGGCATTTCCATCATGCTCCGACTGACTAGCAGCACCCCTGGGCACCCACAGGCGGGCAGAGGAGTCCTTACTGGCACCATGTACACGGCACATCCTGTACCTTTTGGTAACTGTGCGAGTCAGCTAACAGCATTCTTGAAGTGGCACTGTGGGGTCAGACTGCATCCTCCACGCGTTCACTGCCCACCAGAGGCCTGGTCCTTGCTGCAGTGCTGCCTCGGGTCGGAAGGCTTGAAGTCAGATTGCCTCCATCACCTTCCAGAGATGAGGACGGAAGCCCGTCCCATCGGCGGGGTGAGACCTCTGGGGTGAGGGCTTCCTGCCTGGGTCCCTGACACTGAAGTTACCTGGCAGGTAGGTTTGTCAGCATCTTTGCAGTGCTTCCTACTTGGGAAGAAAGCAAGCTTCACAGATCTATCTAGAAAGCCTGTGCCACATGCTCACCGCACCTCGGACTAACCTGAGAATGGGTCGTGGTCAGGTCAACACTGAAGGCAGCATCTGGGGGGTCGAGCCCTAGGCCACTTGGAGGAGAGCTGGCACTAAGCTGCTTAGAGTTCAGGGAACCACCATCTGCCTGAGGGAAGAAGCCTGGGACACAGCCCAGTCGCTGTCCTTGGGGAGGTGGGTCTGAATGAGAACGGGGCTAAGTCTGGACAAAGGTGACATGTGTCGAGCAAACATAGGGAGGGTGCCCACTGGCAGCTGGGGTGGTATGTCATCGGGCCAGGACTGAGGCCAACGAGAACCTTTTCCTGGATGTCAAGGCCTGGTTCCAGCACCTGTGACTGTTTTGAAAAGTGCCAGAACCTTCGTTTTTGTAACCTTCATTCACTGAAGCCTCTCAGTGCTGGGTTCTGCACTGAGTGGCGGAAACGTCAGTGCTAAGCCCGTTTAACGTGCTTTCAGGGAAATGTCTGTTGGGCCGGCTGGCCAAGTGGTTGATGCCTGAAGTCTCAGAAAGCACCAGAGTGTAGACTGGAGCACAGGAGGGGTTTGCCCGGAGAGGAGGAACAACAAACAGTGAGGACGGGCAGATGGTAGAACCTGCACTGAAGAGGGCGGGTGTTCTGGAGAACCAATAAAATGGGAAGGGGGTTGCAACTCTTAGGCAAAAAAGGACGCTCCCTAAATTCCGGTGTCTCCCTGCCCAGGCTGAGGACTGGAGCTACTTAGGCAGCTTTTTAAATCTTTCGGATGCTTTGGGTGTTCCTTCCAAGAGCTACAGGACATGCAGAGCAAGGAGCACCAGTGAGGGGACAGCGGAGGAGCACCAGTGAGGGGACAGCGGCCCCTGAGCATCTCCATGCACGAGATGAGGCGGGACGCACCCCAAAAGCACAGGAAAAGGCACACACAGGCACCTCTTGCTTTTTGTTTTTTTTCTTTTTTTGGCTTTTATTATGAAAACAAAACAAATGCCCCAGGAGAAGGGTCCATGATTACCAGAAACATCAAAGAGTACTTTCTACCATTTTTATTCTGTTGTGTTGAGGCCAGCATTGCAATAAACAAGCTAAAACTACTTACATTGGACTCATTTTCAGTAACTGACATTTACAGGAATATACTAGAAACGGCACTAAAAAGTTTAAGAAAAGTTACGGTAAACTTGCATGCACATCATACAGAAAAGTAACATTTTAAATATAAAAAAGAAAGACTTCCTGGAAGTGTTATGCCAGTATCAAGGAGCAGCACTACACTGATGTAACAAATCCTTTATTGTGGGTGCTGTTTTCCCCAGACGACTATAAAAGATGTGAATGTTGCAAAAGAACAAAAACAAACAAAAAGAAAACGTATCTTACAGTTTGTAAGCAAGATGACGCTGCCCAGCATGAGCACGGCTCTCTGGTATCGACTCACAGCCAAAGCCTGCCCCCTCGGCCTGCACGGTCACGGTCACGCAGAGTGTTTTCAAAGCCCTCTCCTACACGTGGCCAACCCATTAACACGCCACTGCTTTCCTCTTGAAACAAGCATGGAAAAAGCTACCCTCCAGTTCTCGGCACTGGAGCCCTCTGCTTGTCCGACTGTCGTCTCCCCAGTACAGAGAAATGGGAATGACAAACACCCACAGGTGAGCTGAGGGGTGTAGGAGGTGCCCCCAAACTGCAGAGAAATCAGTTTGGAAGTGTGGACAGAAAGCCTTAGAAGCTGCAGCACCAGTGAACCACACTGCTCAGAATGACGACAGCCCTCGGTGAGCTGCGGAAGCCGGCGGCTCCAGAGAAAGGAGCAGAGGTGGTTCAGAAGTCACCGTCCTGCACAGAACCAGTGGACAACGAAACGCTCTGAAATGCTCCCACTAAACGCTAGGGCCAGATGTTGGCCCCGCTGATCAGCTCACAGGGGACGCTTTGCTCTCTCCACAGCGGGGGGCACTCCGCGGGAGCCCCACACCTCCAGGCACCCCTGCGGGGTCTGCCCGTTACCTAGGTGTGCACTTGGCTTTCAGACCTGTCGACGAGTCGTGTACTGATTCCTTAAAGTCATAGTTTAAATATTCCATTAAAGACCTAGTTAAAAAACACCTTTGAAAAACAAGGGGAACTTTAAAAAATGGCAAGTTTAAAATCCATTTATACTTTTATTATAAACAAAACTTAATTAAAAGTTTAACAAACTGGCTCAAAACTCAGCAAGTGTCAGAATCACCAGCGTAAGAAAAATGGTACTCCGCCTTCCCCTTCCTCCTCAGAGTTCTATATCCATCAAGGGCGTCATCCACAGCCTTAAGGGTTGGTGGACTACTCTGAATGCATTTTCTGATGTTTAAAACTCGCTACCTATAAGGACATTGCTGACTAGCCCCTCTCTCCATCCTGGAGTGTGGCAGAGACAACTCCCCATCAGACAGAGGCACGTCCCTCACGGCTCTGCCTCTAGCACCCAGCCCAATGACGTTGTCACAGGGATGTCTGGGACAATGTTTCAGTCATTTCTGTGCTAAATGGAAAACGCTTGTGCAGGGGGCCCTGTGTAGTCTTCGGGGAGGGGACCCTCCTGGGGCCAGAGCCTCTTCCACCCCTGGAGAGAGGCGACAGCTCAGGAAGGGCCTAGCCAGGCCACTGCTGCCGGCTGGAGGACCGAGGGGCAGCAGGCCTGCAGCCCGTCCCCTGGGGGCCGGGAGGTGAGGAGGCGCCCCGTCGGGGGCTGGGGGGACCGACCCTTGCATTCTTGGCCAAGGCCACAATGCTCAGAACCTAGGCAGGCAGTGTGGGGACATCCCTGCACTCAAAGGCCATATGGCAGCCTCTGGAAAAAACAAAACCAAAACATAACTTTCCGTTAAATTCTGTATATTATTATTATTTTTTTTACAATAGAAAGTTAAAAATCAAGACTTAGATTTACTATACATTTTTTCCTCTCAGATTACAAAGCTTATATTATATAACTGGGGTTCCCTAAATTGATTTCTTTTAAAACAGTCCCAAAGAGACCACAAGAGAATACAAAAGAACTAAACAAACAAAATAAAAAATTGGGATGTGCTGCAGCTGGAAGTTGTCTATACCTGTAAGTCTCCAAACTTCATACACACACACAAAAGAACAAAAACAAAAACCCCAAGAAACCCAGAAGGGCGGGCGCACACAGACATGACCGAGCGCCGGTGACAGTGACGGTGACGGGAGCTAGCACCTGGAGGGGCAGGCCCATCGTCCCCGCAGGACCTGGGCTCTCCTCCAAACCACTGAAAAGGCCTGCATCTCTGCTATTTTTTTTTTTATGCATGTCTTTTGCAGTTTTGTTTTCTTTTTTTTAAAAAAAAAACGACCAATGATGTTAATAAATAAAGTATTCATATATACATGAACTTGGGAAAATGGTTCCAGAGCGTGTGGCTACGCTAACGAGTTGGGGACACACATTGGGCTGGACTTTCGTAGAAAATTGCTGAACCTTACAAAAAAGTCTCCTTTTGTGTTTTTTTTATCTTTTTTTTTTTTTTTTTTTTTAACTTGAGGTAAAAGTTTCAGTGTACGGAAACCTGCACGCGGCACATGCCGCCACTGCGTTCCCTCCCGGGGCTCCTGACGTCACAAAGATCAGAAAAACTCAACTTCTCCCTTCCACGCACGCCCACCCTCGCCTGCCCACCACCCAACCCGCGAAAGCTCTGCCTGGGGCTCCGATGGCCCCGCTCGCTCAGTCCAGCGCTGGTTCTCACAGCAAGCGCGTCCATCCTCAGACCCTGCAGAGACAGGCTGGCCCTCAGACATGACGGTCAGAACTCAGGGCCCAAGTGACAAAGACGACACCTATTTGCAAAGCCAACAGCTTCCAAATACAGTACCATCTTAGAGACATTTCCTTTGAAAACATTCCTCTGGAGCTACAGAGCAGGTCGGGCACACGCAAGGGGTTTCGCAGGAACCTTCGGACCACGTCTCACGTGTTTTTCTACGGTTACCAGGTTAGCATCTGAAGTTGTCATCTCCAAGCGACTGCATTCGGTTATGAAGAAAAGACTTTATGCGAACTCATACGTCCCCATAAAGTCTAGTGTACACACAAAAAAGGCCTGTGACCTAGTAAAGCAAAAACGGGAAGACACCGTAACACTGGATGAAAGAAACCTGCACATCGTAGAACAGAAGTCGTATATTAACCATAGGAGGGAACAGTGCAGAGGTCGGCATGTGCGGTGGCCACCGGAGGGCTTCTGTTCGGGCAAGTGCGAGGCTATTCCGAGTCGCTGCTGTCGGAGCTGGATCCACTGGAGCTGGTGCTCCCCGACTCGGACGAGCTGCTGCTGCTGAGCCGGGAAGGCCCTCCCGAGGGCGCCGAGCCCGCTTTGTCTGAAGGAGACGAACAGGAGAGCGGCGCTCAGCCCCACGCACCCCCCACGCGCACCCTCAGCGACGCCTGCGTCGGCTCAGCTTTTCCAGCGCCCACACCGGCTTCACACCACTTCATCGCATGCCATGACCCACCCACTTCCTGACCCAGTCGCTCAGTAATTACTGAACTGAATGAACATGTTCGTGAGGCTTTGGTATTGTAAGAGGCGTTATCTGGTCTGTCCTGGCTCCTGGCACAGAGCTCCTAAAACCCTTGGAATTTCCTGAGTGGTAAGCATGTCGTTTGTGATTTATAAGGAGCCGCTTTGGCGCCCACCTGAGTTTGTGGTGACGAGTGACTTGGGCTGGGGCCCCCAATTAGCCACACACTGGGGCCGGTCACCAGGACAACAGAGCGATTAGGCGGTGGGAACTCTCAGTCTCCACCCCATGTCCAAGGACAGGGGGGCACCGGACATGGAGCTCTAGAAAACTCTCGGTTCACAGGACTTCTGGGCTGGGGAACACACGGAGGTGCTGGGAGGGTGGCCGCCGGAGAGGGCGCGGGTGCGGGCGCACCACACCCCACACCTGGCCTGTGCACCTCTCCCCTCGGGCTGCTCCTGAGTTGTATCCTTTATAAGCAACCTTAAAGGTAACGCCACGCTTTCCTGAGTTCTGCGAGGCGTAGCAGACTACTGAACCTGAGGAGGGGGTCGCGGGGACCCCCAATGTACAGCCGGTCGGTCAGGGGTGCAGGAGGCCCAGGACTTGCACCTGGAAGTCACGTGGGGTCAGTCTTGTGGGGCTGAGCCCTTAATCTCTGAGACCAGCACTGAACCGAATTGCTGGACACCCAGCTGGGGTCGGAGATTGGAGAACTGGCATGAAAACCCACACATTTGGTGTCAGAAGCGTTGAGAGTACAAACAGCTCACAGGTCAACAAAACCATCTAAATATGCTAGAGACAGGGTAAAAAATGAATCTACTAAGAGGAACACATGGGAAGTGGGTAGGAGCTGACCATATGAAGGTACCCAGAGTCACGTGGCGCCAGGCGGTAACAAAGAGCCACCTACTCTGCCCTTCCCAGGGAACCCACCCAGCCTTCGGTGGGAGTGGGCAGGGCCCCAATCCCCGTCTCAGCACCGGGCAAGCAGGGCCTGGCAGGGCTGCAGCACCAGCTGCCACATGGTCGTCCAGATGGGACCCCAGCTCTGGCCGCCATTGCCTGGGCCCCACCGTCCCTGGGCCCAGAAAAAGGTATTTGCCCTTTCATGCAGGTTCCCGAGAAAGGAGGCAATGAACTAAACACCTGCTCAGCTAAAGTAAGACCCTGGCATCCACAGAGCACAGGCCCTAGGAGCTGGGAGCCAGGAGCCGGGAGCCTCCTCCGCCTGTGATATCGTTAACATGCTGGGAACTGCTGACACTGCCTGGGGACAGCCAGAGAGCTGGCTCGGGGACTGGAGGCCAGACTGGCGTCCCCCAAGCCCTGGGGTCCAGCCCCCAAACACCACAGCTGGGCCCTTCCAGAGAGCCTCCCTCCCCCCGGGGTTCTGAAATGTGACGCCTTTCACCGGCCTCCCCGCAGGGCCAGGGCTGTGTCTCCAGTTCACAGAGAAGCAAATCGGAACCTGAGGAGCTCAGGAACCTCATCTAAGGAAACGTGGCTCACTAAGTGGGGGCGCCACACATGCCAGCCTGGGCCTGCCAGCCGCGCCCCGCCTCGACCCTGCCCGCTCGGGACAGAGCTGCGGTGCGGGCCGCGGGCCCCGCGCCCGGGAGCGGCCCGGCCCCGACGGGTACCTTTCTTGGCAGGCTTCTTGTTGCTGCTCAGCTGCCCGCTGACGTCCTGCAGCCGCTTCTCCAGCTCCTTCTTCTTTTCCTGAGCTAATTCCTCCTTCGACTTGGCCGCCTGCTTCTTCCCGCTTGTTGCTGTGGAGGAACCGGGAGCTGAGACGGGCAGCACAGGAGGGACAGGCGGCCGCCCTCGGCCACCGGCTCCTGGGTGTTCACAGCCCCCAGCGGCGTGTCCTGCACCCTCATCCTACGCAGCCTTGTCTTTAACTCACCAACTCCCTGCGGTGGGACAGACCACTCCCACTCCAGGCAGGACACGTGGCTTGGTGACACCCCCCTGTGAAGGGCAGAGTGGTGGCGACTTGAAGCCCTGACCCTCTGACGCATGGTGTTCCCTGGCCACAGCCTGGCAAACCCTCGGCCAGCAGCAGACCTGGTCTACCGCCTGGGATGCCTGCGCCACCACCTGAGGCCACGGTGACTTACTGAGGATCAAATGTGCCGTGACGGAGGAGGTGGCCGCCCCCTCAGAGCGAGTGAGGACCAAGTACCCCAGGGGGCCACACGCAGGCTCAGGCGCCCTGGGGGGCCCTTGGCCTCTGTCCTGTTCTCCTGACACCTCGGGGCGCCTCCGACCTGCCCTTCCTCTCACCCCCGGGTCCTGGTTCCCATTCGGTGATGTCATCGACTCCCAGAGTGACCCGGGGCCAGTGCGGGCACCCATCCTAGGACGCCTCTGGACCCTCGACCCCAGTCAACGGGGAATGGGTGTACCCTGGCAGGGGACGCTCAGAAGGCACCTGCAGCCCAGGCCGCTTGTGGCGAGGACCTTAACTGGCACTTGAGCAAGTGGGGGTCCGGGAAAGGCCCAGGGGTCCTGCCTGCTCGCCTGCTGGGGTGGGGCAGCGGCCGGGTCTCAGCCGAGCCCTGTGCCGCCGCCAAGCAGATGGGCAAAGGACGGGGAGCGCGAGGGCTGCCCGGCTCTGCGCCCTGGGACTGGAGGACGAGGAGGGGGAGGCAGAGAGCAGGGGGGCTGCGAGGGCTGCGCTCTACCCCCAACTTACAGAACGGCTTCCTCTGTTTTTTCTGTAAACAAGACTTGACGTATCTCTCTAGTTCCCGCAACGTGGTGGGTTTCAGAGTCTCAAAGTCAATCTCGATCTCGTCGGGGTTGGAGTCCCTGAGCGAGGGCTCGCGGGACTGGATGATGTGCACCACGCGGCCCAGCTTCTCCCCAGGCAGCCGGTTGATGTCCAGGCTCAGCTGGCGCTTCTCGTCGTAGCTCATGGGCAGCCCCTCCTCCTCCTCCTCCGAGTCGTAGGAGGCTGACGCCTGCTTCCCACCCTTCTTCGGCTGTCTGCGGCACAAGGCAATGCGAGTCATGGCGAGGAGCCCCTGACGTCGGCCCAGGCAGTCCCTGTCCCCTCGCCCCGCCACCCATCGTGGAGTCCCTATTCCCATATCCCCTGGGACCCCCAGACCTGAGGAGCCCCTGTCCCCTTGTCCCCTGCACCTCCCCATTCTGTCTGGTTCCCTTCCTCTCCAGGACCAGGCTCTCTTACCAAAGGGCAGGCCCAAAGTGGTGCCCCAGGCAGAGAAGCCAGGCCGACTGCCTGTGTGTCTCCAGGGACGTGGAAGACCCTCCTCCAGAGGTCAGAGCAGAGGCTGCTCCAGTGGGGGTTTCCGGGCCTTAGCCAGGAAGCCGCAGCCGGCTCCCCTCAATGCCCCACAGGCACCTCAAAGTCAACAGGTCAAAAACATCTCCGTTTCAAATAATCCAAAAGAAGGCAGGTGAGAGGACACAGGAATAAAATACAGAGGGGACAGACAGAACAGAACCAACTGGTAAACCAATACCCAGCTGTATCAATTACATTAAATATAAAACGGCCTAAACACACCAATTAAAAAAAAGAGATGATCAGGTTGAATAAGAGACAAGAACCAACTTATAGGCTGTCTACACAAATCCCACTTTAAATATAATGAGAGGTAGGTTAGAAGTAAAAAGATGGAGGAAAAAATCTACTGTGCAAACAGTAATCAAAGGAAAGCTGCAGTAGCTACATTAATTTCAGACAAAGTAGACTTCAGAAAAAGGAATATTATCAGGACAAAGACGGACACTGCAAAAGGATAGCAGGGTCAACTGACCAAGACATCACGGCCCTAAATGTATGTGCGTCTAAAAACCAAGCTTCAAGCTATATGAAGCCAATGCCAAGAGAACTACAGGGAAAACAGAAAAATCCACACTTATAGTTGGAGAATTCAATTAATTTTCTCTTGGTAATTAATAAAACAAATACATCATCAAGAATAGGGAAGAGTCCAACATTATCAACCAAATCAACCTGACATGTTTTTATCTGTCTGCAGTTAATTTTTGTGTTACCCCACCCAACAGCAGAGGAATACACTTTCTTTCCAAGCACAATGGAACATTCACCAAGACAGACCATATTCTGGGCCATAAAACACACCTTAAATTTTAGTGTTCATCTCTGACCCTAATGGAATTAAGGTAGGAATCAATAAATGAAAATATCTAGAAAAATCCCCAAATATCTGGAAATTAGACAACACCTTTCTAAAGAACCCATGGTCAAAGAGGAAATCTGAAAAAAAATTAAAAGACATTTTGAACTAAATGAAATCACAACATATCAAATTTCTGGGGTACGGTTAAAGGCAGCATTTAGATGGAAATGTAGAGCATTAAACACTTGTGTTGAGAAAGGTCTCGAATCAACCCTCTAAGCTTCTACTTTAAGCAGCTAGAAAAAAGAGAGCAAATTTAGTCCAAAGCAAGCCAAAGGAAATAGTAAAAACAAGACCAAAAGGGAAAAAATGGAAACGAGAAAAGTAATGAAATCAAATGTTGGATCTTGGGATGGCCAATAAAACCATCAATCTCTCTCCAGCTTCACCAAGAAAAAGACACAAATGATCAATATCAGAAATGAAATAAAGGACACATCACTACAGGCCCTACAGACGACAGAGGATAAGGGAACACTGCAAGGTCTTTCTACCTGTCAACTCCACAACTTAGGAGCCACATCTTGAAAGGCACAATCCCCGAAACTCACTCAAAAAGAAACTGATAACCTGACTGACTCGTCCTGTAGCTATTAAAAGAATTGAATGCGTGATTAAAAATCTTCCAACAGTGAAAACTCTAGGCCCAGATCATTTCAGGGGTGAATTCCCCCAAACATTCGAGAGTACCAACTGTACAGATCTACCCAGAAGATCGACCAGGAGGAACACTTCCCAACTCATTTTTTGAGGCCAGAGTGATAATGACACTGAAACCAGACAGAGACAGTACCCCAAAACCTGACTCTTCCCGGAGGGAGGAGACCCCTGACCCTTCCCATCGCCCCATGCCACGGCACCACTGCCCCCCAGCTGCCGAAGCCCGAACCCGTGGTTCCGCAGGCCCCCTCCTCCCACTCCCAGGCACCAAGGCCTGTCCCTTCTGCCTCCCAGACAGATCTCAAAGCAACTGGCCGCCCCCTCCACGGCCACCCCGGCCTTGCCTGCCTAAGAACCATGGTAATCTCCAAAACGCCAGCCTCAACCCACTTCTCAACCTGGCCTCTGTTCCTCAGCAGTGCCAACTTGTCCTAATAACCCAGCTCCCACCCTCTGCTGCCCGGCTTACCCCTGTGCGGCTGCCACCGCCCCCTCCGGGAAGCCTTCCCTCCACCCAGCCTGCCAGGGGAAGCTCCCTGGCCCCGAGCGCCCTGCCCTCCCCACCATCCTCACCTCCCACTGTCGTTCCTGCTCGTGCGCGGCAGGCATTGCCCAGGGCAGCCTGGCCACAGTGGATGAACCACAGAGCTGAATCTGTGCCACAGCGACCCTGTGCCTACCAGGCGAGCCGTGAGTGGAATGCCAAGAGCCCAGGTCACCAAACCCAAAGTCCCCAAATTAAACTCTTGGGCCCAGGTCAGGAAAACGTTCCCAAAGCCTCCATCTGCTGAGGTCTCCGCCAGGCAGCGTGACCACTCCAAAGCCTCGATGGGGCCCAGCCCTGTGGACAGCTGAGCGGCGCCCTCTGGAGCCCGCCATCTCCCCAGTCTCGTCTCCCCACAAGGCGAACAGGAAAGGCCCCCCCGGCCCCCCAGCCTGCTTTCCATGTCACAGCCCAGTCTCCGAGTCACCAGGACTTGCGGCCACGCAGCCATCCCCACGTCCAGCACCCCTCCCACCACACGGGCACCCACGGCGCCGGGCGGGCTGGGCGCACCTGCTGGCCACGGTCGTGCTGTTGGCCTTCTTGGTGGGGGCCTTCTTCTGCGGGGCCTGCTTGGCGGGCGGGGCCACCTTGGCCCGCTTCTCCTCCTCGGCCTTGGCCTTGTGCCTCTCCTTGTCCTTGTCCTTGTCCTTCTTCTTCTTCTCCTTCTCCTTCTTCTCTTTCTTCCTCTTTGGCTTGTTCACTGGGGCCTGAGACAGGGCGGCCAGCTGCTCGTGCACGGCCTTCAGCTGGAAGAGAGCAGGCGGCTGAGCGGGACCCCCAGGGCTGGGCCAAGGGGGCCACAGGCGGGGGTGGGGGGGCCGGGGTGCCCTTGGAGCTGCGTCACCCGTGCAGGGACGTGAGGCGGGAGCACTGGGCCGCACCCCGCCTCGGGGAGCCAGACAGGCAGGTCCAGGAGCCGCGTCCACTAGGAGGACACGCTCTGCCTCCACTAGCCTGTGGCCGCTGTCCAGCTGCTGGGCCTCGGTTTCCTCAGGTGCATTGTGGACAAGGCTCACAGGTGGCTCGGAGGGCAACGTGATCAGCCTGGGGCAGGCGCCACAGTAAGGACTCAACAAATGGTCGCTAACGTTTTTCTTATTCGTTTTCACTTTCAGGTGAGGAAGACTAGAGAGAGGCTTAACCGCCTGCACGAAGGAGACGTTCAAACAGCTCTTTGGACAGGACGCAGCAGGTCCATGGGATTGGCACGACCCAGTGGCAGCAGCTGCCGGCGACCCAGTGCTGACATGTGCCTGGCAGTGTGCTCAGCACTCCGCACACTCCGGTGTCAGCAGCGCCCTCCCACCTCCCCCATGGGGCACGAAGGGCAGCCATGAGCTGCACCAGGCAGGTGAGAAAACCAATGGTCTCCAGCCTCTGGCAGGAGGAGGGGCTGAGACAGGCACCGCCTTCCCATGTGGCTGGGCCACGGTGATGGCATGGGAGGGACCCTGGCTGCAGTGGCACCTCAGGGCCGTCTTCCCTGCAATGTCGTCTCTAATGGGGATCAGATCAAAGTCAAACGCCTGCCCCACTCTGGTGACCGCAAGGCCATTTCTGCTTTCTCTCCTCCCTGCTGGAGGCCCCAGAAATGAAGCACCTGCTGGCTGCCAGACACTTGGGAAAAAATGTACATTTTTCAGTTCACTGTCAAAACAACTCAAAGAGGAGGGAACATTAGTCCCTCTTTGCAAACGAGGAGAGCGAAGCGGAGTGGGGGTTGGGGGGTGGTCACAGGCCAGAGCAAGACAGCCTCGTTCCCGCAGGAGCCTCAGCAGGCGGCTGGGGCCACACCACATGGCTTCTGCCACCACCCCCCTCCCAGAGCTTTCTGGGGCAACGGAGGCACTCAGGGTCCAGCAAGGTTCCGGCAACGTCGCATGGCCCCAGGCCCGCAGGCACCACCAAGCGGACCCTTGGAGCCGACACCTTCCCTGGGTCCCCTCCCAGCGAGCCTGCAGGGCAGGGCTGCTGCTGCCTGCGGAGGGGACGTGAGCAGGGCTCACCTGCTCTTGCAGCTCCGCCAGCCTGGTGGCCCGCTCCTCCTCCGAGTCCGAGCTGCCCGACTCCGAGGAGCTCTCCTGGCTGCTGCGGCTGCTCTCGGTGCCCTTGCTCACCACCGGGGCTGTGGGGGCGGGCAGTGCGGGCGCCTCGGCCGGCTCATCTGGCATCTTGGCAAACCGCATTTCAAACACGTCCTGTGGGAGGACAGGGGCCGCCTGAGGTCCCGACACCACCAGGGAGGCCCCTGGGAGTGGGCCCCCGGCGTCCCTGAGATGTCCTCGGAGCTACAGCCGCGGCCGCGCAGAATAGGTAGGGTCCTGCGGGGACACTGGGGCCAGCCTGTTCCCCCTCCCTCTCCAGGTACTGAATGCAGAAGCAGGGGACGCAGGGCCAACAGCCACCGAGGCAGTCCTCTGGGAAGTGGCCCACAAGCTCCCCTCAGAACCACAAGCTTTGTGCAGATCTGGGTATCCTTTCCGCCAGCCAGTGCCAGGCCGCCACCTAATGCCAAACAGCTGCAGTGCCTTCCTTTGAGTTCTGACCCTTTACGGGTCCCCCAGCCATGGGATCTGGGAGCTAGTTTTCATTTCTCCATTTCTTCACCTTGTGACAATACCGTTGCACCATGTCTCAGTCCGAGCTGGGTCCAAAAGTTGGCTCAAAAGGACACAAGTCTTGTTCTATCAAAACTGGCTTTGGAAAGCCCCTTGCAGCTGCTACACGGCCCTCGGGAACACTGTCAGTGACAGTCCCCTCCCTGGCAGCCCCGGTTTGTCAGACGGGACAACGGCCATGAGGGGCGACTCCACTTTGCCAAATCCATACGCCTGAATCCACTCCGGTTTACAAGCCTAAGCTGTGACCCCGCTAACAAGCCCACTCTGGGTTCTGGTCCCCACACTCTCCTCCCGGGGTGAAGGTGTCCTCAGAGACACACTGACACAGAGCTACAATCTGGACGGCCCTCGGCAAACGGCCTCGAGGGGCGTTTACAGCAGCTGCTTCCATGTTGGGCTCTAACCCCGGAGCTCGGCTTATACACGAACTATGTGATCACTAAACAGTCATGGTGGTTAAGAGTCTAAGCCTCTCAGGCCGTCTAGCTTTGGGAAGAACCGAACCAGAGCCACTGGCTTGGGCTCTGCTCGGGGGCTGCCAGCGCCATGTAATTGAGCAATGACAGAGTGGGTTCCACACAACCTTTTGGCTTCGACACAGTGGCATGGTCTCGGTGTAAAACCATGGGTCCTGAAGGCTTCCTCTAGGCATGCTGGGACCTCCAGGACCACTCTGCCATGTCTCCCATGGCAGCCAGTACACAGAGGGGGCGGCAGGCAGCACCACAGTCGGGGAAAGGTGAGGGCCGGGCCCATACGTGAGGGCAAGGGAGAAACAGCCGGACCTGGCAGCCTGAGAGCAGGCTCCTCCCTCGTCCCGCGTCTGCAGCTGGCGATGGTGGGGGACACCACGAGCCCCTTCACGGGGTTTTCAAAGGAGTTCTGAGCAAGGGACTAGGAATGCCTTAGAGAACAAACGTTCTGGGTCCTGTATAAAGAACTACTAAAAGAAGAGAGAGAGCTACAATTTTTATTCTTTCCTCCAAAAAGAAGGTCTTCTGATTACACAGCATTTAAAACATTGGTCCCGTTACCTACAAAAACAGCAGCCCCCAGGATCCACCGTGAAGGGAAAAGGGAACAGACCCTGGGCGCTAACCCGCACAGAAGCGACCAGCCTGGCGGGAAATCGCGCGCACCGCACACATCGTGTGAGAGGCTGGTGTGCGTGAGCGCCGAGTCCCCCCGGGCGGCCGGGCGGAACTCACACCTCCCGTCTCTGCCCACAGGCCACCGGCCTCCCTGATGGGCTCAGGACACAGTACCCCAGCCCCGTGCCGGGCAGGGACCCCCCAGAACTCTCGGTCAGTAAGGCTGCAGGAGAGTGGACACCGGCCGTCTCTTCCTCCCTCTCCGTCGGCTGGAACGTGCGCCAGCCCCCGGGCCGTGTTCCCTGCGTCCAGCCTGCTCGCTGCCCAGCCCCACCTGAGCCTGCAGCTCCTGGGAAGCAGAGGCCTGCTCACCACCACGTCCCCAGAAGCAAGAGGGGCCGTCATCAGAAGAGACGGGCTGTGGGTCAGGCTCCACGTGGGCGCCCTGGCTGGGCGACCTCTGAGACGCCCATGTCTTTCCTAGGAGCCGGCCCTGAGCTGCTGATCCCCCGCCCCCGCCCCCGCCAGCACCTGGGGTTACCTGCAGCTTCCTGGCCATGGCCACCACCTCGTGGTCCGGCGGGTTGTACTTGTAACAGTTGGAAAACATTAGCCGGATGTCGGCGGCGAAGCCCTGCGCATCTGGGTACTCGCGGCTGTCCATCTTCTTCTGCAACACACAGGTGGCAGGGCGTGAGGAGCGCCGCCCAGCGTCCCAGTCAGCCAGACCCGCTCACACAGACGTGGGGCCCCCTGTGTCCACCTCCAGCCCCCTACCCCAAGACCTCGTACACAGGAGCCCCAAGAGGTAGGAAGGGGGACTCGAGGGCCAGGAGGGGGGGCCTCAGGCGCCCTGGGGGGAGGGAAAGGTGCTGGACAAGAAGCCCGGGCTCCTGTGACGTCCCAAGGCGTCCAGCTGTGCACAAGGCGGGGTTTTCACAGGCCGAAGTCCCTGACACGAGGAGCTTCCAGGGAAGGGGCTCCACCAGCTCCGGGGGCCTACCTGGCTCAGGGAATGGGCCATTTAACTTTCCATGACAGCACAGGTGCTATCAGTCAGCCCGCCCGCCCCCCACAGGAGCACCAGGCTGTCCCAGCATGAAAGTGGGTGCACTGCACACGGAGGACAGGGTCGCTGCAAGGTGCAGCTAAGAATGATCTGGGGTTAAGTGGGGCACGGCGAGTGTCACTGCTGTGAGTAGCGTGCCTTTCCTGGGGCCACTAGCTCTGCCAAGGCCGGGATTCCAGCACTGGCTCTGGGCGGTGCCACCACCGATCCAGCCTCAGGATCCCCTGTAAACAGCAGGGGTGTGAGAACGCTGTCCTCTCTGAAAGCCTGAGTCCCTGCATGCACCCCACTCCCTAGGTCAGGCCAGGCCTGCTCTGAGAGGAGGACATGGGCCTTGTGTGGGGACAATGAGACGGGAGCACAGCCCTGCCTGGGGCTAAGGCTGTCAGCCCAGAGCCTGGATCCCACACACCTCACTCACACCAGGGAGAAAGCCCCTCAGAGGCAGTGTGCCCGGGAGCCCATGTTCCAGCTGCCCCCACAGTCAAAACCTGCCTAGAAAGAGCCAGCCGGAGCCAGGGGCTAACCCAGAAAGATGGAGCCAAGCCACTCCCAGAAGTGTCACTGGGAGGAGGGACGGCAGAGGGCATGAGGTCCACCTGCCTCTGCTTTGCCTGAATTTTCTACGCGCATTTTTCTCACACAGGTGAAAAAGTGCTAGAACAAAGGTCACCACTGTCACTGAGCTCTCATTAGGGGCAGGGCCACCGCAGCGCTGACCCTGGCCGTGTCCAAGGAAGCAGGCGCTCTGCCCTCGCAGGCTGGAAAGAGGCTCAGAGAGGGTGCGGAAGCTGCCTGTCGCCCAGCCGGACTGTGGTGGAGCTAAGGCCCACCCAGGCCTGCCCGACTGGGGCCAGCACCACCGCCCTGGACAGCCACCACCGCCGGGGGAAGGCCGCAATGAGACTCTGCCCAGGCCCACGTCATAGGGGAACGAGGCAGAATGACTGAGACCAGCCGTTCAAGGCCCAGGCACCATGGATGGAAAGAAACAACCACCGCTTTTTGGGGAAGGGCTTTCCAGGGCCACGAGGGCCGCTCACAGAGGAGGTGGGTGACATACGGCCACCTGCCAGGGGCGTTCCTCAGGACGTCAGACACCAAAGCCAGCCTGGCTCAGAGCTCTCCCTGAGGGAGGGCAGGTGTGCTGGGGCCCAAGCCGGACATGGGCTCAGAAACTCCGATGTGCGCTCAGGGAAGACCCCCTGCGAGGTAACCCCAGCCCGGGTCTGCACCAAACGCTTCCTCCGTCACACCTGGCACAAGCCTTGCTCTGACCTGGAGCAAAACCTACGCACAAGCCCAGGGCAGAGCCCCCTGGCACAGGAAGACACCAGTACGGGACGTGGGAGGTGGACGCTCTCTGTCTGGGGAGGGGAGGGGCCACCTGAAAGGGCCTCCTTGCCTAACGTTACAGAAACCTGCAAACGCTCCGGGATGGGAGACAGGAAAGAGATGAAGCTGGTTTTAAGGGATGAGGTGACAGGTTCAGAGCCCATGAGCAGAACACACCTTCCTCCCTGCTCAGGTTGGGCAGCAGGCCAAGGGGGCCGCGTACTGCCCCAGCCCCACTCTGAGTCACCTGCAGCCGGCACAGACCTCAGGCCATGGCTGACTCTCAGGACGGCAGCAGAGCCGGCGGCCTGGCCAGGGAAGTACCTTGACGGTGCTGAGGTCCATCGGGTGCTTGATGATGTCGTGGTAGTCGTGCAGTTCCAGGGCCTCGGCGTCCACGGGCTTGTAGAAGGGCCAAGCGTAGGCCGCGTGCTTCTTGGACAGCATCTCCTTGAGGATGCTCTCGCAGTGCCGCAGGTGCTCCGACAGCTTGCCCTTCTTGCCCGCGTGCTGGGGCACCTCGCCGTCCTCCAGGTCCTTCTTAGGTGGTTTGATGGGGCGGCCGCCGCTCTCCCGCCGCGCTACCACCTTGGCCTGCTTGGGGTCCGACAGGGGCGGGGGCGACTCGCTGCGGCTCGCGGTGATGGCGGACGTCGTGGGCGTCGTCGTGTCTGCTTTCCGCTTCACGCCCTTTTTCTGTGACAGCGAAACCACCAGTGAGCGCCGGGAACACAGCCCAGCCGCAACAAAGTGACTGGTCACCACTGCGCCTCTGGAGTGCTGACTCCCCGCCAGGCTCCGAGCGAAGCGATGCCGTGCACGGCCGCGCCAGCCCCCAGCTGCCCCCGCGGTACGGAGGACACAGAGGCTCAGAGGGGCCACGTCCCGGCCTACGGTCACACAGCTGGTGGTGGTGAGGCTGGACTTGGAACCTACCGCGAGCCACCCTCTGAGGGCTCTCTCCCTTTGCCCCCAGGGCTCCGTGGGCCCAATGGGCTGGCTCGTGACACCCCTGAGCAGTGTAAGGTGCAGCATGCAATTCACCTGCACCTAACCAGCACCCGAGGCCGGGCGCAGGAGGACTCCAGAGACAAGCACAACTGAGGTGGCACCATGACTGGGATCGGCACCAAGCGGGACTCGGGCTCAGGGACAGCAGAGGCAGGAATCCCCTGCTTGTAAAGGCCAGCGGGAAAGTCCCAAAGGCCTCACAGCTGGCACTCGAGGATGATCATCGTGGAGCAGGACGAGGGAAGAGGCGGGGCGAGCATGCGGTGGGGACGCAGCAGCAGCAGCAGGTTTGGGACCACGGACTCCAGGGGGCAGAGTGAGTGGGCGGGTCTGGACTTTACCCAGAAGGCAGTGGGAACCAGCTAGAGCTCTCCTTAAAGGGAGGAAACGTCGAAATGATGAGGGGGTGTGTCCAGGGCAGACACTCACACGGGATGTGTCCAGTGAGAGCATGTTTAATGCCTGGGCATCCCAGGCCTGTGGGTCCCTCCAGGCACGATGCCTGGCCCTGGGGCCCATGGCATGTCAGCCCTGTCCCGCAGCCAGGGCTCAGTGTGTCCCCGAGACAAGCTCAGCCGGTTCCCCGCATCTCAGCTCAGGCAGGCAGAGAAGCCCCTCGGAGCCACAAGCATCTGGGCCGACGGCCTCATAGGGTTCTGCTGTCTAGAGTGCCACCACGGTCGCTGCCCCAGCCAAGCCGCCACCCCCAGGCTGGCAGGGGCACGAGCTGGCTATCCACAAACACTTAATGGGCACCAATGAGATGCCAAGCGCGTGCCACAGAGGCCTGGCGGGGGGGTGGAGGGGTGGGCTCATCTGGCTATGGTAAACAGGACATGCTCCAAAAATGGCCAGGCGCTGTGTGGGGGCAGCCTGGCCAGGCGCCGCCCAGAAGTGCAGGCAGTGAAGGCCACGGGGGAGGGGAAAGCAACAGAGGTGGCGTTTTACCTTCGGGGAGCCATTTAACCCCTCTGAGCGCCTGCTTCCTCATCTGTAAGATGGGGGAATACTGCCTGCCCCAGAGGGTCGCTGTGAGGGTCAAATCGGAGAAGATGGTACACATCAGTGCCCGCTCAGAGCAGAGCAGGAGGCTCGGCAGTCCTCGCCAGCCCAGATCTGGCAGGGAGCCCCCACTCCGAGCCCAGGCGGCCAGGACAGTCCCTGCCATGAAAAGCTCCCAGGCAAGCGGGGAGACGAATGCGCTGGTGCTCACGCTAACAGCGATGCAAGCTGCAGGTGGAGGTGACCGACGGGGTCAGGGCCTCAGGACGCAGCCAGGCCACCGGCCTCCCCACGCTAACCTCCAGCTATCCGAGTGTAGGCAGGGAGGGCCGGGACCCCTCCCACCTACTTCTCTGCACCTTCCCCACCTGGACGCACGCATTACCAAGGCCAGGGCTTCAGGGCCAGAGAAGCTGGGGTTCAAGTGAAGCCTGCCCTCACCAGCTGTGTGACCTGCAGCTGCCTGAGCCTCGGTCACCTCGTCTGCATCACTCAGGAACAGTGGCCAGACCTTACCGGCACGGTGGGAACCACTCCAGTCACATGCACCAAATGCCCGCTTGGTGGGTGCCCAGGGAAAGGCAGCAGAGCTCCCTCTGGCCCCACCCCACGCCTGCCTGAATCCAGGAACCTTGACCAGTGCTCAGACCTCAGGCCGACCTCGCGCCCCAGGGACGCTCACCTTGACGACGGGCGGCGTGGGAGGGACCACGGGGATGATGGGTGTCGCAGGAGGAGGTGGGGCAGCAGCCGGGGGGACAGGGACTGATGTGACGTTTGCAGTGATAGTTGGCACAGGGGTGGCAGCAATGACGGGCGTCTGGGAGACAGTCGGGGGGACGTTCTGAAAGGGGGTCGCTGGGGAGACAGAGGACACAGCCGCCACTTGCTGCGTACCTTGAAAACAAGGAAAGGAGGTTGAACATACCAGGCGCTCTCAGCCAGACAGGATCACGGCAATACTTCCGGAAGCATCCTGGCCTGTCCCCTCTAGCCAAAGCACACCAGAGCCGGTGGAGCCCCTCTTCCTGAGACGGCTGGCTCTGCATCTAGGCTGCCTCCACAGAGCCTGCCTCCAGGGTGCTCCCCTGGGGCCAGGACCCAAGTCTAAAGGAGGGAGGGAGCCAGGACAAGCCACACGGCCTAGGAGCTAAGAGCCAGGCTGCACCGAGAAACCGGGAGTTAACTCAGAGTCCACCAGGAACCAGCTGAGTGACCCTCCTTAACCACCCCCAGAGCCCATCTGCAAAGCGGGAAGGCCAGCGGGCACTGGCGACCCCCTCGAGGCCCCGGCACCCGGTCAGCCTCCCCATCAGGACACACCTCTCTTCCAGGTTCTGGGACCAGCTAAGGCCCCAGGGGCCCCAGCACCTAAGCCCCACCACACTCCCTGACAGGTGACACAGCGCCTCTCCTGTCACAGAGTACAACACATGCTAAAGAAGCAAAGTCCTAGGAGGGGACAAAGCGAGAGCTGTGACTTCTGTCCAGGCTTCCGGAAGAGGTGGCCTCAGAGCCCGGGCCAGGAGCAGCAGCACAGGGACACAATACCACAGCCGAGGGCCACCATGTCTCAGAGGGTACATGGGCTATGCGCCTGAGCCCTGGCTCCTGGCCATCTCATCACTGCCCCGACTTCACCGACAGGGACAGAGCTCAGAGTGGTCGCCGGACCCACAGACGAGACCTCTGCCCGCGGCCTCAGGACAGAGCAGCCACGCCCATCCCCCCGTCCACCCCTTTACCTGCACTCTGGGCTCCTGTAGCCGGTTTCCGGCCTTTGCCCTTCGGAGCAGGGGGTAATAATTCAACTTCCTCCTGGGGCATCTGGGCCACTTTCTGCAGAAAAATTTTCTCTAAGGCTTGGGCCATTAGCACTATGTCATCTGTGGGCTGAAGACACGGGGAGAGCTGAGGTTACATGCTGGGGAAGGGGCCATGCGCTTGCAAAAGACATCGCTGGTTGTAGCTCAAGAAAACATCTAGTTAAAAATTTGTTAAGAGATTTAATGGGGCAGGAGGGAGGCAGAAGGAATCCACTTTAACATGAAAACTCTTGGAAGAATTCAGAAAATCACAAAGACTAAAAACCACCCTTCACCCATCGTCACACGGAGAAAGAGCCTGCAGCTCAACACTCGGTTCACCTTTACGTCACTATTAAAACCCCTCAGCTGGGGCCACAGGGAACTCCCCTAGTCTGCTCTCCTGCAGACATTTCCCCTTGTCATGACGTGTCTTGCATCACTCGGGGCGGCTGGGTGTGGACGCCACAACAAGTTCGGCCGATCTCCGACAGCCGCGTGTGTGGGTGGGTCACTACCCACATACCTAAGCCGGCACTGACCCCGTCCATATTTCTAGAGCAGCGGTTCTCAATCTTCCTAATGCCGCGACCCCTTAATACAGTTCCTCATGTTGTGGTGACCCCCAACCACAAAATGATTTTCGTTGCTACTCTATAACTGTAATGTTGCTACTGTTATGAATCGTCATGTAAATATCTTCTTGTTTTCCGATGGTCTTAGGTGACCCCTGTGAAAGGGTCGTTCGACCCCCAAAGGGGTCGCGACCCAGGTTGAGAACCGCTGTTCTAGAGGGAGAATTTGTAAGTCCAAGGGTACGGGCGTTGTAAAGCATTTGGTCTGTGTCACCTCCCTTGAGCTCTCACTCCCGAGTGGGATGTGGCCCGCGTAAGCCAATGGCTCTGAGACAGCCAGTGCATGGAAACTGCATGTGGGATCAGGGCCAGAGAGGCGTGCGGCGTGACAGCGTGACACGCTGAGCCCGTCCAAGAGCTGCCACAAAGTGCCCTGGCCAACCCCAGAGCACCGTGTCACCCTGGGTCTCCCCTGGGCCGATGGACAGCTCACAGGGGCGTTTTGGGTCCACGCCACATGCGTCTTCTTACCTTGTTATAAATATAACAATTTGTAAACATGGTGTTGAAGTCCTGCATACATTCACTTGCACTCCAATAATAATTATTTTCTAGTCTCTTCTTAATCGTTCCCATATCCATAGGGTTTTTTATAATTTTATGATAATCCTAGGAAAGAGATTTTCACAGCCATTACTGACGATTCAGTGTAATTACTTCATACTTCCCAAGTGTCGTGACTGCACACAGAGGGAGTGGTCTTCTCGGCTGAGCTGGGTACACGGCAGTTTCTAGTCACCTGAGGGCAGGTGGGCGAGCAGTCTGGGGCGAGCACTTGGCCCCGCCAAACCTCTCGCCTGGCAAGGGCTCTGCATCTAGGAGGTTCTTAGAGACACACAGAGCTGCGGCACTGGGGCTGGTCTATGCTCTGGAGATAGTTGGGGCCCAGCTCCCACCCAGATTCCAAACCTCGCTCACGGCCCCGCAGGGGATGGGGCTGAGCTGAGCCCCGGACCCAGGCTACCAGGTGCCAGCCTAGGGGGTTGCTTTGCTACAGTCAGGGTTCTCTATTTGGGTCCAAAGAAAAAAGTCACTGGCCGTCAAGTCAGCTGGGGCGGCATCCCCAGGAAAGCGGGCCCCGGCCCACTCCGAGCACCTGGCTTCGAGTCGAGCGCAGGGGCCAGAGTGCTGACACGGACGAGCCTTTGCTCCTGGGCCCCATCACTGCCAGCCCGCGTCCCCTTTTTCCATCGTGAGGCACGGGTTCTCCCCCACTCCGGGCACATGGAGGCAGTCACCCTCCATTCTCCAACATCCCTAAGAAGCCTCTCTTGCTCCTTGGTCACCGTGGGCCCTGGGCTGTCCCCCCCACCCTCCGCCGAGTCCGGGCTGTGCCTGGCTTACCAGCACCAGCCACATCTCAGGCACCACCTCTGCCAAGGCCACATGGGCAGCCCTTCCACGAGTCTGAGCAACAGAGGGGCGGGGGGGTGGGGACTCACGGGCAGGTTCAGCTTGATGGCGTCCACGGGCTGGTAGAAGGGCCAGGCGAACTGGTGTTTCCAGAGCGTCTTCACCACCACATTCTGCATGTACTGCAGCTGGTTGGTCTTGCGGCCGGGCTTGGAGGGATTAGAGACCTCTGGCGGGGGCGGGTTCACGGGGCCCGGGGCCACCGGGATCCCCGTGGGGGTGACCGTCGTCGTGGTGGACATCCTCCGGTGGCTCGCTCACTGGCCGTCACAGCAGCGGCTCGGGGAGGCCCTCGCTTCCTCTGTGCTCCCCCCAGAGTCGTGACATCCCATTTCCAGGCCCGACCAGGCAGCACCTACAGGGAAGGAGGGACAGCAGAGAAAGGACGGTCACCCAGGGCCCTGACACCTCGCCCAGCCTGGGCAGGCTTCCCCGGCACACCCGTGCTGTCACGGCGAAGCTACTCGTCTTGGTCAAGCCACTCCCCACCAGCCCAGAATCACTCACAAGTAGGGGGACAAAGCGACACGGGTGACGGGAGATCACATGAGCACGTGCCACCTGGGCAGCTGGGGAAACGCAAGGATGGGAAGGTGTCTGCAACCTGGGGTGGGAGGGGCAAGGACCCCGCCTCGGCTGGCCTGCTGGGGCTGAGTCCACACTGTTCTTGGCCGTGGCAACTTTTTAGGGAATAAGTCACACGCTGAGAGCTACATCGACCCCACAGGGCCCAGCCAGGCAGACAGAACATTCGCAGAACCACAGGAGGATATGGAGCAGAGCCCCTCTGGAGCGAGGCCGCCGGCCCAGCAAGCGAGGGAGCGAGGTTCCACAGTAGCCACGAGAACCGGTTCTGGGTTTGTGATGGTGTTCAGGCTGTGACACGGCCAGCCCTCGGCCAATCAGGAGGGTGGGACGGGGCGGACCTGACCCTGCAAGCTCGGTAAGTGGGGGGAGGGGGGGCTGCTGCAGACCTCACCCCGGTCCCACCGCCTCCCAGGCTCTTGGGAATGCTCTCCAAGGGACACTGAGCAGTGAAGGAACGCACAGGCCAACCCAACATCTGTCAGGAACAAGCCAGCCGCCCCACTGTCGCCTGTGGGACACAGGCTGGAGGCTGCACATGGAACCTGACCGCCAGCAGCATCTGTGTGCTCCGCTATACTTTAGCTTTTTATTCGTACTTGTTACAGTATTCAGACGGGTCGGGGAGGGCAGCAGCACTCATCGCCTGAGGGACCAGACGGCCTTTGGGGAGGACAGAGCAGTGCGTCTACAGGCCGCTGAACCAGCCACTCTGCTACTTGCAACTGCAGGTCGGTAAAACTTGGAGAATTTCTCGAGCCGGTTAGCATGCTGTCGGTGGCTGGCAATCTGCTGCGGTGACATGTTTACGCCATGGTTCCTGGCACATGCTACAAGCATGGCTTCCCCCCAGAGAGCTGGTTACGAAACACTGACCAGAATCCTACTGTCTCCGCACTGCAACCCAGAGTGAAAAGGGCTTTGAAAGAGCCATCAGGCCCATCTCGCCCACCAAGCACAGCTGCCCTTCTGCCCGCTCGCCGGAGCAGCAGCCCCTCAACATGTACTGGGCTCCCCGCCTATCATCTGGGGAGCCCGCCTCCTTGCCTCCTCCACGCCCTCCCAGGATGAGCTGGTGCCTCACGCTCCTCAATCTCGCTAACCTGGGGCAGTGACCTGGTCAGCACCATGGCCACAGCCCCATGCCGGTGGCTCGGTGGGGAGGGTGGCCGGGCCCGGGTCAGCTGGCGTAATGGAGAACACGCTGCGTCTTCACCACCAGACAAAGCCACGGAGCCCAGCACAAGCCCATTCTCAATGCCTCACAGCCCCACGCCCACCCCAGCAGTCGGCAAATCCAAACGGCCGGAGGCTGGCGGCCTCCCGCCCAGCCCCACAGTGACCTGCCCTGAATCTCCATGAAGCCCCCGGGGTCTGCCCTCCCTCCACGGCAGCGAGTCCTGCTCAAACCAACGCAGGTCAAATCGAGTCACTCACCCACTCAAGACGCTCCAGGGCTCCAGCGTTCAGCATCAAAGCACCTTCCCCACTCCGGCCTGCAGGGCCCAGTGTGACCACCGAGCCGTCTCCCCGTCCTGGCTGCAGCCGTACCGGCCCACGCCAGCCCTTGCTGGAGAAACAGGCTCGCACCCTCGCCACCTCCAGGCCTTTCTGCTCCAACACCACCACCTGCCAGGGCCTTCTGGAACCCCCTGGACCCCTCTTCCTGGACCCCAGGTAACTCAGGGCTACGGGGAAGATGCTGGGGCCACCCTCCTGGTCCCTATCCCAGCTCTGCCCCTCGTCAGCCACTGGATCCGGTCCCCAGGGTCCCCACGGGGCTCTTTGAGAACACAGAGCGTGCTGGGGCAGGCGCAGGACAAGCGCTGAGCACCGCGCAGCCCTGCTCTGACCGCTGTGGCGGCTCCCCGCACCAGGGACCCTGGAAGCGCCAGCAGAGGGATGTGCTGTGTTCCTGCCACCTCCCGGGGCACTGTCAGCCCCCAGGTGTCAGGTGGGTGGGTGCCCAGCACCTAGTGCTGCTGCTGGGTGACCCAGGGAGCCAGCATACAGCCAGGGGCTGAAAATGACCTGTAGGGACGCGAGGCCCACAGGAGAGCCCAAGGCTACTGGCCAAAGTGAAGGCTCCTCCAGGCACGAGGCCTGATGGGCACAGCTCACTGCAGGGACGTTTGGCCTGGGCCTCGGCCTCCCTCCCTCTTCCGACCACCGCTTCACACCTGCGCTGAGCAGGGAAGCCAGCTCCAGCCACAAACACAGAAAGTGTCACCACTGTGGGGTAAGCACCCAGGCGCAGGGCTGCAGCCCCCAGGCCCAGCAGAAGCCCCGAGCCTGAGCCAGGTGGACCGACGGGCCTCCTGGGTTTTGCCGCACACCAGCCCAGCCCAGGAGCCCGCTTGGCACTGCCAGGGGACCCAACAGACATACTTAGAGCTCTGAGCTCGGTGCCTGGCCCCAGCATATGCTCGCTGAGTGCCGGTGGTCACTACAGGCCACAGGGAGTCCCTCCACCACAGCCAGAAGTGCAACCTGCCTCCAGCCCTACTTTGAGGGGTGCAAACACCGCTGACCCCGCCCGGCAGGGTCTGTGAGGCTTACAGGGGACATGTGCAAAAAGTGCCCAGTACCCCCACAGTCCACGGGAACTGCACATGGTGATGGGAGCGCTACTGAAATGGGTGGGGGCAACTCCCACACTCAGACCCCTGCAAATACGTGTCCCCTCTCAGGCGGCGGTACACAACCCTCCGCCACGTAGAAGCAGGCAGAGTGGCTCTCCTGCCTCCGACCCTTCCCTCCCGGTTTGTCCCTCGTCCCCAGCACCAGCCAGCACAGTTCAGCAGGGAGAAAGGGCTGCCAGAGCATAAGTGTTTCGGGACCCCCCACAAGCCCCTTCCATCCCAGGTACCAGGACCTACCTCCCTGGAATGGCCATGCTGGCTGGGAGACAAGCAAGGGGACAACTAGGGAGCTCGGACAGAACCCCGCAACAGGAAACCACCCCCATGAGCCGCCCCAGGGAGGGAGGACAAAGTAAGGGTTCCCTGGCCGTAAAACTACAGGCCACCCTGGGCTGTCCCCTCCGGGGCGGTAGGCAGAGCAAGGCGATCACGTCGCTCCCTGCTGAAGCACACACAGCATCACCGCTTCCAAAGGGGCCCAGACCCAAGGGCGCCTCTCCACAAAGCAAAGGTGGACGCAAGCCCAGCGCGCAGCAGCGCCTCGGTGACAGCCTGGCCTGGCCTTCCCGCGGACACTTCTCCCGAGCAGACAGCAACGTCGCCGATGCGGACAGGAGTAAGGAGAGCCAGGCCGACTGAAGAAGTCCCCCGGGGGGCAGGAACATGGGGCCTCCGGACCCCACCCCAAGTCCTGGCCTCAGTGCACACCGGGTCCCAAGGGGCTGCCTTCTCTCTTTCTTCTTCCGTTTGGAATGGGTACTTTTTTTTTTTTTTTTAGAATGTTACTTTTGCAAAAAGAAAAAAGTGTAAAGGAATTTCTATTTTGAAAAAATGCTCAAACACCAACCAACCAACCACAGTTGGGCACAGGGTGAGGGGCTCCCATGGTCGCCGTCGGTCCACAGTTAAGTGTCTCGGAGCTTGTGTGTCTCCTGCTCCGAGGTCTGGGGACGCTGCCCTGGAGCCTGGGGGCAGACCCAGCAGCCCAGCGTGTTCCCTAAAGGGGGAAATCTCAGGGCCACAACGCCCCCAAGTCTGGGCTCAGACTCAACAGAGCTGCCAGCCCCTGGGGGCCAGCTGGCCACACCCGCATCACCCAGGCTGCCCGAGACATCCCAGCAGAGCCCACGTGTCAGGGCAAAGCACAGATGAGCGACACAAAGCAATGGTGGGCCGCCCACAGGCCCCTGGGCCAGTGGCAACACCCAGAGCAGCTGTCCTGTCCCCTAGTCTGGGCGGGGGTCATGGCCACATTCTGAGACCAGGAGGCAAGTGCTGCTTCCAGAAAGAAACTAGAACTCAGACCACTAGCTGACCCTCCTACAGGGTTCAGCCCTGAACTGAAAATCAGTAACGGGCAAGGGTGCAAGGGGACGTGGAAGTTTCACACACCAAAAAGGAGGCACCACCGTGGAATCCCCCCACACCGGCTCCCAGGGGTGCCTGCCCGTCCTCCGGAATGCCCGTGGACTTGTGGACACCCAAGGTGCCTGCCCATCCATCAGCGTGGCTGTGGTCTCCCAGGCGGCCGGGGTGCCTACCAGTGCCCCAGCATTCTCAGGAACAGCTTCTCTGTGACGTGGCCAGGGGCAGGGCTGACACCACCAGCCAGGCCCCACCTGCACGCCTTGCCCCGGGGGGCGCTCATGCCACACTCCGGCCCAAACCTCAGTGGCTGCCCTTCTGGGTGAGGCCTGGCAGGGGCAGACAGTGGAAAAAACACCAAGAAACACGTGAGTGGTCGGCCATGAGCACTTTACCTTAGCGGAGGGTGAGACATGGACCCCACGAGCTCAGAATGACCACGCCTATTGCAGACTACAGAGCTGGGGCTCCTCTGTTCTGGGGCTATTTCCTGGGTCTGGGTCTATTCGCGTGGGGATTCAGGCACTTAAGCCCGGAACCCTGTGCCTCCGCAACCTGGCTCCCAGCACTACAGGCAACCACAGGGAAAGAGGGCACAGGCGGCTACGGAACAACATGGCCCAGCTGCCGCCCACCAGCAAGGACAGCAGGCGGTGCCCTGGAGGCAGGCGTGGAGCAGCAGCAGCCCCCCCAGAGCCCCAGGTCTGAGTGTAACCCTCGGCGAGAGGGGCACACAGGACCGCGAGGCGCGCCCGTTGGGTCTGCCACACCAGGCCTCAGAACCGGCTGCTCACTGCTGACCGCCTTGAGCCTGGGTCTCAGCTGTCAAGCTCAGAGCGCCCAGCTCGGCCACCACCCATCAGGGGCTTCCCACCTGCCCCGGGGACAGACACGGCTCCCCACCCACAGGCTCAGGGCCCACTGGCTAGAACTCCAGCCTGCGGAGTGCGAACCAAGGGGCGCATCCTTCAACTCTGACTGTCTGGAAACCTCTGGACTCAACGTGAGGGCCTTGGGGGTGACAGTGGTGCTGCGCCCTAACTTTCACAAGCCCTGACCTGTTAGAGATAGATACTGTAAGTCGAGAACGAGACATGGCTGGAATTTGCTCCTCGGTAACAGGGGTGAGGGCTGAAAATGAGTGGGGGTCTGGAGGAGACAGAGCACAGGGCGCTGAGCCCCTCCACCTCCACCTCCACCTGCATGTGAAAGCTCCTACCCACCAAAAGGAAGAGGGTGAACCCGTTTTCCTTGGGTGCTCAGGACCCCACCCCCCCACCCCCGACGACCTTGCTCTCCGCACCCCACTCGCCTAGCAGGGAAGAGGACCCCCAGTGTGTGCAGAGAGCTCAGGCAGAACCACCCAGGCCTGGTGGGGAAGTGTGGGTCCGAAGAGACCCCAGTACCTTCAGACAGGACATGTAAGGTCTGTATGCTGCAAATCTGCCTTCACCCCCACCTGTCCCCAAGGGGATGCGGGGGTGTCTTCTGGGGATAAGCATGCAGGGGCAGAACGTGCAGCTTGGACTCCCCGGCAGCGGAGCCCCCAGCCCGCTTCACGCCGGGCGGGCTGAAAGCCCTCCTTCTAGAACGTGGGCCTGGAGGTTTTCAGTACACGTAACTCAGGAGCAGTTCAAGTCAGGACTTGAGCCTCCCCGCGGTACAGCAGTTTCAGAACCTGCGCCCCGCTGTCCTGTAGGGCACTCACCACACGCCTGCCAACAGCCACTTCACTCCAGAAAGCTGTTTACTGCACAGACAACCCTCCCCTCATGCGGCCACCCCCCCTGGTCACGGTCACGGCCGGCGGACTCCCATTATGGTGCAGCTCTGAGGCCTGGGGGGAAAGTAGCACTCCCGAGGGGACGGGATGGCCGAGTGCCCACTCTGCGCTGGGCACAGCAGGGCAGGGATGGAGGCCGGTATCTCAGAGGGGCAAACGGAGGCCAGACAACCTCACCCACTTCCCGGGGCCCCCACCAAGGACAGGGAGGCAGGCAGCACATGCAAATCTGGGTGAAAGTCAAAGACAATCTGCCTTTGACACAAGAGGATCCGAAACCATCCAGGGCGGAAACTCAGACAAACCACAAAGCCCTCGAACGCCAAGCAAAACCCCAGATCTGGGGTTCTGGTGAGATCCTGAGGGACCAGAGCATCAAACGGAGGTTCCCAAAGTGGGCAGCTGACAAGAGAGGGCAGGGTGCAAGGACCGGCCGTCCCATGCTCCAGGTCACACACACTGCACTACATGAGGGGCTGAGCGGCCAGCCTGCAGGGAGGCGTCCCAGAACACCTGGCACATCCCCCACAGGCAAATGGACCGGTGAAGTGGCGAGGTGGGGGGCTGGCCCAGTGACCATCTCCCCTCCACCTGCCACACTTCGTCCCTCCAGGGGAACTGGAATCCTAATGACAGCACAGAAATCCTGTCCCCTGCAGGCTCGCTCGGTCAGCCCAGAGGGGCGCATGAGGGTCCTGGGCAAATGGGGGTGGGTGTGGGGTGGGGGGCAAGTGGGGACCTCTGTCCAGTCACCAGTAAAAAAACACCCAGAAAATTTGGCAGCAGCTGCACCAGCCCTCCTGCCACAATGTCAAGCGTCGGGCACGACTGCAGGGAGAGCTGGGTGTTCCCTGACAGCCGGACCCCAAGGGGTGGCAGGCGGATGCTGGCCTTCAGGCGTTAGACGGAGGGACAGACAGAGGCTCGGTCGCCAGCGCTTCCAGCCACGGGGCAGAGGATGAAGCCGGGAAGGTGGGCCGGGGCCAGACTGAGAGGGCACTTCCAGGCTGGCCCGGCCCAGAGCAGGGAGGGACAGGAAGGGACAAGGCTGTCACACTGCAGGGGCCTGGACCACTGAAGGGGGGGAGGATGGTGCAGAGGCGGGGCAGGGGGCCTCAGTAGCCTCCGAGCTTGGGGATCTCAGAGGGGAGGGAACCCTGTGGCACGTCCAGGGAGGAGACGTGGTGGATGGAGGGCAGTGCCAGTGAGGAGGGCTGGGCACAGGCAGGAGGAAAGCTGGGCAGTGAGGCCCCATCTCAGCAGGAGGGTCCGGGCAAGGGGCGCGACGCAGCACCTACTTTTGCCTTGGCCCCCCCTCCTGCCCGGCTCAGATGCCCGGTGCCCACTAGCAAGGCCCTCAAAAGCGGCCTCCGCTCCGGGGCCTCTCGGACAACCGAGGAGGGGGCTCCAGGCCCCCGGGGCCGCCCACTGCTTTACTCCAACCCCGTCCAGGCACAGGGTGGTGGAGGTCCCGTGAGCTCCATTTTCCAAATGGAGGCTCAGAGGTGAAGGGGCAGAGCCAGGCCCTGGACGGGGCCACCCCCCCACACCAGACCCCCGTCACGGCCTCCCTGCAGCCTCCAGACGGGGAGCTGAGGGCGGCAGGGGGGTCAGTCGAAGGTGGTGCCTGGGCTCCTCGCCCCGAGGCGGCCAGGCCAGCCTCCACAGGCATGCTGACCAGCAGCCGCCTGGGGCCTCGGGAAACAGGATCCGCGAGGGCCAGCGGCTTCAGTGACAGACGGGGCCACCTGCCTCCTTCTGTGGGGCCAGGGGAGGGGCCCCCAGGACAGCCCTGCAAGAGGCCCCAGGGAAGGGCAGGCAGGCAGGCGGGGGCCCACCGCCTTCCCATGGAGCACACGCTGCCCGGGCAGGAAGCAGTGCCACCACGGGGCCTCTGCCCACAGCGAGGCAGCCCTGACCCGGGCCCCAGAGCTCGCCTGGGGTCTAGATGGCGACTCCTCTCCAACAGCAAGCAGCAAGGGACCCGACCCCAGCAAGCTCAGGTCCAATCACGTGCGGGTGCCCACAGGTCTGGAGGACTGTCCTGAGGCGCCAGGCCCGCAAGTGGACCTGCAGCGATGGTGCCCTTGCTGACACGCCCCCCCCCCAAGTCCCCTTAGCTCTGTACCCACAGGACCTGGGCACCTAGTTCTCCCACCTTGGAAGGCTTTCAGTCCTGCCAGAATGTCAGCCTTGCAAGGACCCAAGACACCAGCTCCAGGGGTGCCTCCAGCCCTGCTGAGCAGGGCTCACTGTTCACCCATGAGGGGCCAGGACAGCTGCACCCCTCACCTCTGCGAGGCTCTGCCCCCCCACCTGCCTTTCGCCCCCCACCCCCAAAGAAAAGCCAAAAACACACACTATACCAGTAGAGCCTCTTGTGGGGTATCAAGCCCCCAGAGGTTTTGGGGAGAGCCTCTCCATCCCCATTTCTTGGGAAAGCTGAGCTCTGGCCCTGACACATCACTCCTCTGGGGAGCCCCAGCAGCCCCACATGCACCCCGCAGAGCACCTCCCTGAAGCCAGGCTACCCGGGGCGCTGAATGACCCCCTCCACGGGCAGGACAGAGGCAAGAGACCCAGAGCCCAAAGGAGAACGTCG